TCCCCTCTCCTTCCCCTTCAGTCCACACCCAGTCCCTAACATCCCCTCTCCTTCCCCTTCAGTCCACACCCAGTCCCTAACATCCCCTCTCCTTCCCCTTCAGTCCACACCCAGTCCCTAACATCCCCTCTCCTTCCCCTTCAGTCCACACCCAGTCCCTAACATCCCCTCTCCTTCCCCTTCAGTCCACACCCAGTCCCTAACATCCCCTCTCCTTCCCCTTCAGTCCACACCCAGTCCCTAACATCCCCTCTCCTTCCCCTTCAGTCCACACCCAGTCCCTAACATCCCCTCTCCTTCCCCTTCAGTCCACATCCAGTCCCTAACATCCCCTCTCCTTCCCCTTCAGTCCACACCCAGTCCCTAACATCCCCTCTCCTTCCCCTTTAGTCCACACCCAGTCCCTAACATCCCCTCTCCTTCCCCTTCAGTCCACACCCAGTCCCTAACATCCCCTCTCCTTCCCCTTCAGTCCACACCCAGTCCCTAACATCCCCTCTCCTTCCCCTTCAGTCCACACCCAGTCCTTAACATCCCCTCTCCTTCCCCTTCAGTCCACACCCAGTCCCTAACATCCCCTCTCCTTCCCCTTCAGTCCACACCCAGTCCTTAACATCCCCTCTCCTTCCCCTTCAGTCCACACCCAGTCCCTAACATCCCCTCTCCTTCCCCTACATCCCCTCCCCCTATTCTTCATTCTCCCCTCACACTCATTCCCATAGAAAAGGGACACTCTACCACAGGAGAGAGGGACACACTCTCCCACAGGAGAGGGGGGACTCTCCCACAGGAGAGGGGGACACTCTCCCACAGGAGAGGGGGACACTCTCCCACAGGAGAGGGGGACACTCTCCCACAGGAGAGGGGGGACTCTCCCACAGGAGAGAGGGACACACTCTCCCACAGGAGAGGGGGACACTCTCCCACAGGAGAGGGGGACACTCTCCCACAGGAGAGAGGGACACACTCTCCCACAGGAGAGGGGGACACTCTCCCACAGGAGAGGGGGACACTCTCCCACAGGAGAGGGGGACACTCTCCCACAGGAGAGGGACATTCTCCCACAGCCAGCTCCACCTTAGACGCTGTTGGACCACATCCAAGCCTGGGATTAAGATGAATGAGTTCACTAAGGAATGAAAGTGTTAAAGAAAAACCTGGAGAGTACAGCAAGGAGAACGGAGGAGTCCGCTGATGTGCCCAGGCCAAGACGCACGTCGTAGAGTACAATTACGAGGAGAATATGTCAGTCTTAAGAAGCGTTTAAGACAGAGGAAAAACTAAGGCCAAGGAAGAGACGCCTCGATGTGTTGACCAGAGTGTTGAAAGAAGCCAGTTGGAAATGTCACCAGGATGTCGAGACTGGCAGGTTATACTGGCAATGTTGCCAGGGGGTTATGCAAGAGATGGGTAGCGATGGAAATATTTCCAGGAGAAACGCTTTGTGGTAGAAAAACTAACTCAGGCCAAGACGTTATTTAATAGCATCATATGCCGGAAAACTACATGTGTGGTTTTTCATTTTTTTTTCCCAATGGTTTTTCACAAACCATTCATTTTTTTTCTTGCAATGTATTTGTTATCATTTTATTAATTCTGATAGAATTTACCTACTTAAAATTATCTGTTAGATTAAGGACCTGCCCGAAACGCTGCGCGTACTAGTGGCTTTACAAGAGTGTAAATACTGTACTATGCTATGTATTCTCACACACCCAATGTACCTTCTTGTATATAAATAAATAAATAAATAAATAAATGTGAAAAATAGAGAATGCTAAACGCGTTTTCGGCTTATCTCGCCTTCATCAGAGCAAAGTAGAATGAAGAATCTAGAATGTAGAATCATTCATTCTACTTTGCTCTGATGAAGGCGACATAAGCCGAAAACGCGTTTAGTATTCTCTATTTTTCACATGCGGTTTTTCCGCATACTTGAATCAGTGTTTTTGTGATCCTTGTTGCATAGCATCATATTAATGCTGGCTAAACACTCACACAGAACCCGTAACCCTTTATAACCACGCTCCATGTGCCAATGATCTTACATGATTTCTTAAATATTTTTAATCAAATGCAGCTCAAAGGAGAACAATTAAATAACTCAACCAATTAAGGGCTAAGGAGCGTTACACAAGTTGGCTAATTGGAGGACAATGTAACTTCTATATGAGAATAGAGAAACCAAGAGAGTTGACCAGACCACACACTAGAAATTAAAGGGACGACGACGTTTCGGTCCGTCCTGGACCATTCTCAAGTCGATTGTCTTGAGATTCTCACAATCGACTTGAGAATGGTCCAGGACGGACCGAAACGTCGTCGTCCCTTCAATTTCTAGTGTGTGGTCTGGTCAACATACTTCAGCCACGTTATTGTGACTCATCGCCTGCAAACCAAGAGGGTATATGCCCTTGATCCATCATAGCACTATATAAGAGGAAGAATAGATACGGATTCACTAAACAAGTGTATCTATCTCTTTTACTCTGGATTTAGAAAACTCTAAATATATCGAAACTGCGGCGTTGTGTCAAATCATTACATTCGCGTGACTACATTTGCGTTAGTTAGTTCGAACTCTTTTTTTTTTCCCCTTCAAATTATCGTTTGTGACTTCCTTCTCGGTATTCATAGTATTAAGACTGCTTTCACAATTATAGTGCTGCCTTCACAATTATAGTACTGCCTTCACAATTATAGTGCTGCCTTCACAATTATAGTGCTGCCTTCACAATTAAAGTACTGCCTTCACAATTATAGTGCTGCCTTCACAATTATAGTGCTGCCTTCACAATTATAGTACTGCCTTCACAATTATAGTACTGCCTTCACAATTATAGTGCTGCCTTCACAATTATAGTGCTGCCTTCACAATTATAATGCTGCCTTCACAATTATAGTACTGCCTTCACAATTATAGTGCTGCCTTCACAATTATAGTGCTGCCTTCACAATAATAGTGCTGCCTTCACAATAACAGTACTGCCTTAGAAATAGCAAGTCTTATTATGCCTTAAAGTCTTCACTCTACTAGTCCTCTAAGTAAGTTGGTCTTGAACAGGGATACGCAGCAATTCAATTTCAATTCCTTTCTTTATTATGCACCCCATACCCATCCCGTGGGGGGGGGGTGTAAAGGATTACAGAGGCACATAATCGTTTCAGAAACTGAACCCTCTAGTTCGTTTAGCTAAGCAAGTAACAATCTTTTGACGCTAGTTACAAAATTATATATATATATATATATATATATATATATATATATATATATATATATATATATATATATATATATATATATATATATACACATACTCATGGATACACAGCATGCAGAGGTTTTTCCATATTTTCAACGCTTTGACTAGAAACTTACTAAGCAATTCCGGTATTCTATGGTCGAGGATGAACTTGAGGTTATCTTGAGATGATTTCGGGGCTTAGTGTCCCCGCGGCCCGGTCCTCGTCCAGGCTTCCACCCCCATGAAGCAGCCCGTGACCGCTGACTAACTCCCAGGTACCTATATACTGCTAGGTAACAGAGGCATCAAGGGTGAAAGAAACTCTACCCCATTGTTTCTCTCCGGCGCCTGGGATCGAACCCGGGACCACAGGATCCCGCGTCCAGTGTTCTGTCCGCTCAGTCCTGGAAACACAAACCGAAAATGTCTCTAATTTCCGCTTGTTACAACTTGTCATAAAGTTGTTACATCTTGGCTTAACGTGTTTATGACGTATTAGAACGTTGTTACAACTTGCTATATTGGTTGTTATAACAGGTTAGGAGGTGTTAAAACTTGTTCAAACGTTGTACCAACGTCGTAGTTTCGGTGTGTGTTTGGCTAGCTGCTCCCCCTGTTGCAGTGAGGGGTTTAGTGTTGCTGGCAGTGTTGCTCTTAGTGCAATATGATAAGTATTAAGATCGTACCTGAAGTATGTGAAGAATATGATGATGAGAGAACAATTAACTCATCAAGGGAGCGTAATTGGTGAATATAAAGCTACAGTATAATTACGGTCGAATGTTTGGGATCAATATTAGTATCAGAAGGGTGTGATGACCGCCTGTTAGAGTCAGAATCGGACTGTGATGAAGTATAATAGTATTAACTATAATACGGTAGTAATGACCTTAAGTACGACTGAGATCACTTAAAGACAAATTTGTGACATCGAATGTAGCGAATTCAAATTAAGGAATAATGAGAACATTATGGAGAGCAAGTTTGAGTGAGTGGCGGGAGTACCCGTGGAGTACCGGCCGACCAGGACTATCATGGAAGTACTATATGGACTCATATGGAAGTACTATATGGAAGTACTCATGTGTCTCCCATATGAAAAGTCTATCATTTATAAGATATTTGCATTTCCATTAATCATTCAACTCTAATCTTAGGTTCCCCACTCGTGCTAAATATCACGTAATGTATTTAAATGAGCTTTATGGGATTTTTTTTGTATCAGTATCCATGGATTTAATGCAACTCTCATACGGTATTATGTAGGAAATGTAGATGTTTATCTCTCAGAATGTTTGGTAATATGTTTATTGTTTGTAATGTGTGTATATGTATGTATTAACACGATGTACTGAACGGAGTGAGAATAGCTTGAGCTACCTCATCCCTTTGTGTGTATTTTACCTCAATAAACTTATTTCAATTTCAATTACGGTATTGTTTGTTTTTGTGTTCATGGAGCCAAAACATGAGCCGCTTGGTTCAAGTATGTTTATTGAGACAAGAAAAAATACATCTCAAAGGGATAGAGTAGCTTAGGCTATTTCTACCCCCCCTAGCCGCTTGGTGTTGTGTGTGTGGGCGCCTCGTTTAAATGTTCCTCCAACACGTCTTTATCGTCCATATATGAAAGGACTTGGTCAGGAGAATGTACCTGTGATCCAAAAGCAAAACTTGAAAAAAATGGCACTTGAACTGTGGGTGTTGTAAGCGGGGCGGGTATATAATGGGAGGCGAGGGCCAGTGGCAGCCAGACGCCCGCTGACCAGCGCCCGGACAACATCCCTCCGCTCTCCTCGTCCTCTTCTCCTCACAATGAAGACTGTGAGTAATATATCAAACATACATCCAAACACCTGAATATTTACTCCTCTCTACAAATACGGATTGAATATAATGAGGTAGAACTCTTAAACAGAAGCGTCTTAACGTAATAGTTGGTAATATTCATAGGTCTATAGCCGCTACATGTTAGACGAGACTGGTGTTGCAGGTTGTGTTGGTAGCGTGTTGTGTGGCGTGTGTGGTGGGCCGCCCCCAACCTGATGGACCCGCCCTGCCCACGCCCGTCCCCATCCTCCTCGACGAGAGAGTCCCCATCGACGCCCTCGGTGGCTATGGCTTCAAGTACGTATATTCTTTGTCACTAATATCGAGCATCATTAAAAATATATATATATATTATAATATATATACGTTCAGTTATAGTAGCCTATGCAAAAACCTGTTTTGTAATTTCCCAATTGTACATGGATTGTACTTGGATGGGGTTCTGGGAGTTGGTCTACTGCCCAAGCCCGGCTCGAGGCCAGGCTTGACTTGTGAAGCTTGATTAATTGTAAGTTTCACAGACCAATTATTATTATTAGCATGTTTATTGACAAAATTAATTACAATTTTGCCTAATCTGAGGATTTCGATTAAGTCTTATTAAAGTGAGGAAAATGCTGGTATTCACTGTTACGCAGGACAGAGGGTCATACACAAGACAATAGGTCTAAACTGTAGGCGGAAGTACATATATATCATAGTTACAATCAATGTTTTAATGTATGGATATGTGAAAACAACTTTCTATTGTGCACTGCCACACAAGGGCAGGGATGGGTTCATAAGTGATGCAGCTTAGAATTAATATAAATAAAAAATTGTTCTTCATTCTTTAAAATGGACAAGCAAATTTTTGGATAAATTGTTAGGATGTCGTCCAGAACACCTGAGTCAATGAAATAGTTACACAGTTGGTGGTACAATAGGCCAGGAGGAAGTCCTTTACTGTTTCACATTCAACAATATAGTGTCCTAGTGAATGCGTTAAAGGTTTATCATAGAGTTTACAATCTTAGTATTCTGGTAGTGGCTCAGCCTCACTAACCTACTAGATGTGTCTATAGCCAAGGCGAATTCGCGCAATGACTACATCACATTGCCTGGTCCGGTTACTGTGCTGACCATGGAAATACCTATTATTACAAAACTTGTCATAACTTTTAATATTGCAGCTTTCAGGTCTCTGGGCATTTCTTAGTTCTTCTAAATCTGTATTAATTTCTTTAATTTGCATGTTTCTAATAATTGCATTAGATAGTCCAAAGTCATAATCAATGTTTTCTTTCCTGCAAGCCTCATTGGCCATTCGATCTACAAAGTCATGTTTTCCAACTCCAACATGGGATGGGATCCACACAAAATTTATACAAGAGTTATTATCATTGGCAAAAATTACAATCCATTTAATATTACAAGCTACATTTTGATGACATGTATAAGTATGTACAATATTTCTCATCCAATAATGCGCTGGAGACTTTAATAGTAGCTTTGTCACGCAGGTTCCAGACAGGAGACGGATTGTCGTGGGCTGAGACAGCGTCTGCCAGCGGTCCTCTGAACGAGATCGTCCGCATTGGTCAGTACAGGTGAGTTATGACTCCTTCTGCGCCACCAGAAACTGCATCCTGGTGTTACACCTGTTGCCTCTGTTCATCTGACAGTAAATAGGTACCCAGGAGTTGGGCCATCTGTATTGGGTTTCATCCTAGGAAGTGGCTAGTCATTAGCAAGGGGACGATCTCGATAAACCTAGCAATAGGAAACTATGTACAGTAATAACGATGCGATTCCTATATTATATCATCACCTGTATTAGAAGCTTCGCTATGTTTTTTACGCTATCTTACCCCGGCAGTTTCACCCACCCTGACGGGACGCCCCACCTGTTGACCTACACGGCAGGCGCGGGCGGGTTCCAGCCCATCTCCGACCATCTGCCAACACCTCACCCACTCGAGCCCTGGCACCTTAAACAGGTACCTCACAAACAATGTTTATTGTATATACTTCCTATATTACTGGAATATCCGATGTATAAGCTAAATTATATTGACTAGCACAAATTACAACAAAATTACGATACATTGCAAGAAATTAAATTTATTTTGTACTTCCAGATTGAGTTCGCTGCCCGCCAGAAAGCTGCCGCAGGATCAGGAGAGAGTCAGGAAGCGTGAGCCCGAGGGAGCTGCGTCCGGCGTGTTTAGTCGATATGTTTAATGTATCTTAATCGATTGTTATATTTTAGTCTGTTGATCTTTATCCGAATAAACGTTAATGAATTTCTGCTGTTGTTTATAATACTTGAATATTTCACGGAGAATCGAGCATCTTGGAAAAAACTTAGCTAACGATATCCTAGTAATACTGCATTACTGGACTAGTAATACTGCATTACTGGACTAGTAATACTGCATTACTGGACTAGTAATACTGCATTACTGGACTAGTAATAATGCATTACTGGACTAGTAATACTGCATTACTGGACTAGTAATACTGCATTACTGGACTAGTAATAATGCATTACTGGACTAGTAATAATGCATTACTGGACTAGTAATACTGCATTACTGGACTAGTAATACTGCATTACTGGACTAGTAATAATGCATTACTGGACTAGTAATACTGCATTACTGGACTAGTAATACTGCATTACTGGACTAGTAATAATGCATTATTGGACTAGTAATACTGCATTACTGGACTAGTAATACTGCATTACTGGACTAGTAATACTGCATTACTGGACTAGTAATACTGCATTACTGGACTAGTAATAATGCATTACTGGACTAGTAATACTGCATTACTGGACTAGTAATACTGCATTACTGGACTAGTAATAATGCATTACTGGACTAGTAATAATGCATTACTGGACTAGTAATACTGCATTACTGGACTAGTAATACTGCATTACTGGACTAGTAATAATGCATTACTGGACTAGTAATACTGCATTACTGGACTAGTAATACTGCATTACTGGACTAGTAATACTGCATTACTGGACTAGTAATATTGGACTGCATTACTGGACTAGTAATACTGCATTACTGGACTAGTAATAATGCATTACTGGACTAGTAATAATGCATTACTGGACTAGTAATAATGCATTACTGGACTAGTAATAATGCATTACTGGACTAGATGCATTACTGGACTAGTAATACTGCATTACTGGACTAGTAATACTGCATTACTGGACTAGTAATACTGCATTACTGGACTAGTAATACTGCATTACTGGACTAGTAATACTGCATTACTGGACTAGTAATACTGCATTACTGGACTAGTAATAATGCATTACTGGACTAGTAATAATGCATTACTGGAATTTATTCTTGTTTAATGTAAGGAAATTATCATACGAAAGCACTAAGGCAGTATGACTATGAAGCCCTTTGAAGGACTACGAGGATATACTAAGAGTAGGGATACTAGGACATATTAAGAGCAAGAATAGTGCCCATCCACTTGGGCCACTGAAGATGGGACATCGACCCTGCAAGAAGCGAGGCCAAAGTAGTTTTAATTGTGCGGTTCAGTCCCTGAGCCCATTATGTGCCTCTGTAACCCTTTCCACTACCGCCCACAAGATGGGTATGGGGTGCATAATAAATGAACTAAACTAACTCTTAATCCAGGCCCTGAGTATCTGCTTAAGTGATGTAACTGTTATTTGGCTGCAGATACATCCTTTGAGTCTACATTCGGAACATTTATCCTCGACAAAGAATGAATTAGTTTCTTAGACTTCTATATGAAGACTTCATTACGGAATTCATTATTTTAATTTTGGCTCTTAAGTCGGTTAGTTTAAACTTTCCCTCGTCTACTGACAAGTGCTTCCAGTTGTAAAGTTGAGAACTTTACAATTATTGTTATGATTATTTTTATTGTCATGTTTTTTTTCTACTTCAGTTCAATTCTTGCTTTTGATCTCAGTTTTAAGTTTTAATTTTTCAGTTTATTTTTCCACACCTTGCCCGAGACGCTGTGCGTATTGGAGGTTTCAGGCTGAGTATCTAGAAACTAACTCTATCTAGAAATGCAACATTCTGCTTGTAACTCATTTTGTATGTATGTACTTTTCCCTAAATAAATATTATCATTATCAACTTGGTCTTGGTATACTGGAAGAAAAAGATTATAACTGGAATTTATAGTTCTTTAAAGTGTAGCGAGTAAACTTATACTCGCTCCATTATCTCATCATCTTAATGGCATAACTAATTACACAAGCTATAATCCTATCCCTACTTACAGGTAACGGTTTTTCCACCCTCCTATCTTACTGTGAGGTGTAGTGACCGTATATAAGCCAGCGATTTGAGAATAGCAAACGGGGAGACATCTCCCGTCATGCAGGGTGCAGCCGCACCTCCACAGATCTCCAGTATCAGCTATTGATACTGGTAATGGCTCAAAAGGGCCACCACTTACGGGCTATTCATGCCCGTGCCACCTCTTGGGTGGCTTAATCTTCATCAATCATCAATCAATCGAATAGCAAACCAGTACAATCTCCAGTCATGAATGTAGTACTCGGCGTGGGCAGTTCTAATCGACCCAAGACGCTACAGCTTCCACACAGAGTAAACAGCAGACTACGACCGCATCCAGCTACAACGCTCTCACTCCCCGAATTCAGACACTCGCAATTCCCAATCGAGCCGCCACGATCTCCCGCATAGAGCTCCACGACTCCGGCTTCACTCAGCTCTCTGCTCTGCTCCAGGCTTCGTCTCTGCGTCTACGACACTGCTGTATCCAAGACTACTAAATAAATATGAAACTCACTAAACACTGTGTATCTAATCAACCCAACAACGTAACATAAACGTACATTACAAAAGTAAGATTATCCTTTTTTGGTTACGATTATCCGCAAACTCGTGATGAAAGACATGTTCTAACTTTTAGTAATTCAATTAATTCCTCTCCTATGAGCATGTTCACCGAATATGTTTCTTATGTCTTGTATAATCAGAAGAAAAAAATCTCTGCCAGTTACAGCACCATGCCCTTTCGCCGGCGTGTTGTAGAACATCTCTAAGCCCTGTTCCATACCAACACTTAAAATTCTTGTCTCCATACCGAACTGCAACTCCCCTTCTCACGCAACCCGTCCTCTTAAAAATAACGTCACTTTTCGCTCGTATGCGCGCTCACGAATGACTCCAAGTCACACAGATGCTTTTCTATAAATTTCAAGGAATTTTCACAATAAACAGAGCTAAACCTTGCATAATTTACCATAACAGATGAAAGAAATAATGGTGATATTCACAGAAATACAGACATATGAAACACCCAGTTTACCTCTCCATCGGTTCTTATGATGTCCCTCAATATACAGAAGCGTTCGTAAGGAAAAGATCGTTCCGTTCGTAAGCGCCCGAAGCGTTCGTAATAAAAAGTATTCCACAGCAGAAAACTTAAATCACCTTTATACTTCCTGTTATATATAACTTACAGCTGATTTGATCAATTTAACTACCACTGATCCCCTTTATGCCAGTTATCATTCATTTTGAATGGTAGAAAACTCTCGAGAAATAACTTGTCATTGACACTAATAATCTTTAACTAATAGCCTCGTCCAGATATTATTTGTTTTGGTGGGTAAATAGTTCTGGCCATATTATGGATAGTTACACACTTCTGGCACTCCTTGAAGAATCTTAAGTGTTTCAAAATGCATGTGAATTTGATATTAATACACTTTCACGTGCTAACGACTGCATCTCTAGTCGCTCATTTTTCTCCCGATTCCTCTCCGACGACGCGGCGCTGAGTCACTCATTAAAATATTTGTTAAAAATTTAAATTTTATCAGATCAATCTGGTAGTGGTTTTAAAATGAGCGCCTTTAGATTGCGCACAATTTAGCACCCATATGTCACTTGAGCAGGACATATATTTTTCTCTTGAATGCACCTCAAGCAGCATTTGGAAAAAATATTTCTATAAAATCCAATTCTTATCCGATCGACTTGGGGATAATTTAAGCATGTTTGTCATTAAATGTTTGTTTTCTCTAATAGTCACATAGCCTATTTAAGAAAACAGAGTTCGCTTGTATCTTCATGGTAAAACTATTGTAAAATGTTGACACGACGAGTGTAATCGACGAAGTTTCTTTATTTGGTCAAACACATCATTGTGTGACATTTTATACATATGTTCTTCTGGCACATTTTATTGCAAACATATTGGTACAAAAATTAAGTACGTACATCGAAAATTAAGGTCAGGACAGTGAAAAGAATATGCACTTTTCAAAAGGTGTTTCGCCGATCTGCCGTCGGGTGTGCCTTAAGAGACTTCAGCCACTTCCCACACTCTTGCGGGTGGGCCGCGATCATGATTCTACATTTATATGCATATGTCCGTGAAGGGAATTTTATTGCGGTCACAGTGATACCAAAATTAACGAAGTAACACAATTCTGGGATTGACAAACATGAAAAGATCATAAGCATTTCAGGGCAGTTTGATGCTCACGGCTAACGATTGCCATAGTTTTTTTTATTTGGTGCGGGTCTCATGTCGGGTTTGGTGAAATTTTACATATATATTCCTCTAGAACATTCTCTTGCGAACAAATTTATATCAAATTTAAATACATACATGGAATATTAAGGTGAGGAGACTGAAAAGATTATAAACATTTTAGTGTCGCCGCGCGGTTGCCCGAAACGAACAGCACACTCCCCTGATAGTACACAGTTAACTCACCGGGCCGGGAAAGTGCTAAATATAGTAATAGTGCAAGAAACAAATACATATTGTGACGGCTTTGGTGGTATGATTGGCAGACACGGAGTCGGACAATTAACTTTGGATAATCACTATCATTCATCGTGAATCATTCTACATCTTAATCAGACATATAATATCTTAATAAGCACTAGGCTATCCATGCTGTCACGCGGTTTCTGAATGAAAACGACCAACACTTCAGTATCTGCTCAACCAGTTAAACTATTCTACGGGAACTTATTTTCTACCATTCACAAAATGGAGGAAAGAGTGATGAATGACTTTATTATAGAAGCGTGACCGCTACCGACACCAACCAGAAGATAGAGTTGACAGTCTACTAGAAGTCCGTCAACTTGATCATGAAGAACTCTCCCGACACCAGGCAAAACGTCTTGAAGGAGACGAATGTTGTCTATTGCTTCACATGCCTACTTGAGAGCTGTCAACCTCAACGGTCTCAAAATATAGACAAGACAACCTCTCTTACTCGTGGCCTGACAATG